TGTGCGCTCACGTGAGAGTCAGTGAGATCAGCCATCTGAGGTTTTTATCTGCACCGAGCGAAAACCTCCACCATCTCTTCAAACAATTACAGGGGAACTTACAAGAAGCAGTGGGAGGAGCTGGAGGAGAGCGCCGCTGTATGTAAACCAGATGTGCTCGCCCTCACACACACACTGCGTCAGTGATTTAATGGGCTTCATAAGTCAAGGGCTCCAATTTAAGGAGGTCCACTCCTGGAAAACACAATGAAATCTTGTTTAGCGGCTCCTCCTGCTGTTATGTTGCTAGGCAAGAAAGCAAGTTTACGCACATGATCTGTTTCAGATACAGTGTGATGTTTGTTCATAGAAGATAAATGTGTTTACTTTGACGGAGAAAATGATTTGTTTTTGGAACTCATGTCTGTGTGAAAGCTCTTCCTCAGCCTTCTGCTTTATACTGTAGATTCTGTTAGGATTTCAAAAGTTTTTATTCAAGGCGCCAGATAAAAAAAATCACAGCAAAAGCTTTTGTTTGACAGTCGACCTCAACATTTTCTGGCCGGAGAGCTGTGTGTCCTTGGGATCTCTGTTGGGATTTGTACTTTAGAGTGGTTATATTATCTACTTCTGCAACAGATTTATTTATGTTTTCTTCCCCGAGGTCCACTTACAGATGCATCTCAAAAAATAAGAATATTGTGAAAAAGGTATTTTTTTGTAACTTATATGCGTGGTGACTCTTGATGCACTGACTCCAGCTTCAGTCCACTCCTTGTGAAGCTCTCCCAAGTGTTTGAATCAGCTTTGCTTGACAGTATTCTCGAGCTTGCGGTCATCCCTGTTGCTTGTGCGCCTTTTCCCACCCAATTTCTTCCTTCCAGTCAACTTTGCATTTAATATGCTTTGATACAGCACTCTGTGAACAGCTGCTCTTTCAGTAAAGAGCTTCTGTGACTTACCCTCTTTGTGGAGGGTGTCAGTGATTGTCTTCTGGACCATTGCCAAGTCAGCAGTCTTCCCCATTATTGTGGTTTCACAGAACAAGATACCCGGAATTTATACTGTAGGGATGGTCATTTAATGAAACTCAAATGTAAATATTCTAATATTTTGAGATACTGGATTCTTGACTTTCATGAGCTGTAAGCTCTAATCATAAAAATAAAAAAGAAATAAATAAAAAAACTTTTGAAATGTTTTACTTTACATGTAATAAATTTTGAATATATGAAAGTTTCACTTTTTGAAATGTTACAAAAAAAAATAACTTTTTCACGATATTCACATTTTTTGAGATGCACCTGTATAATGTTAGCCTAGTTTTCTTGCCTCAAAACAGTAATGACTTTACAGTAATGAGTTTTCATTACCATTTTCCACCTTCTCTGACCACCTTAAGCCGAAAGTATACTTCAGTTTTGACACAAAGTATAGGGCTAGACGATATAACCAAAATCATATTTTACGGTATGAGAAATTTGAATGTCACACTAACAGTTCACATCTCAATATAGCTATTTTTTATTTTATTTTTGTTATTAAACATAAGAACAAAGAATCAATTTACAAACAATAGGACAAATACGATAGAACAAAGATACAAATTAAACTTTAAATTTTTTTAGCTACAGACGGTTTATTTAACGTAGTAATATGCGTAAAGCTATGCATGTGCACTTCGGGATAGCATGAACAAACACAGGCACTCGACACTTTATCTTTGTCCATTGTCTGCACTGTTTCTTTCCAGAAGTAATGAGCAATACAAAAATCTCTTTTAAACTCTGAACCCCCTCAGAGAAGCATTGTCAGGTGTCTGCTGCATCTCCAGCAGTTTGTTGTTCCTTTTCTTTTTCGAACTGTGAAACAATAAGCCGGATCAATGATGGAAACTTGTGAACTGCTTAATTAGTGCAAGAACATTCAAGGTGCTTGGAGCTGAGTGCACGGAGTACATGTGGTTAGAAAAACATGACTGTGCACATACAGTATGATGACAGTTATGCCACAGACATGTAAATAATGAAGTATACTTTGTGCTGTAGAAGTAAACAGGATGTTTTTATTACTGTACCTTTAAGATGATGAAATGTAGATACCTCTGTTTTGATTGGCTAACTATTAATCATGTAGAAGTATGGGTGGTCATATGTTATTGAGCTTATGGTCGTGGTGTCATAACCACAATTTCTGAACTGGTTGTTTATGAAGTTTAGTTTGATTAAAAGGACTGTGCTGTGGATCACGTTTATGGTGTCCCTTTTTCCCATGATGTGAATTAATCATGCATCGATTGCCTTGCTGTTTTACTCTTTGCTACATTATTCACACTGGTGCTGTCGTCTCTTTGAGTTATGGGTCATGTGGTAGTAACTTGAGTGCAATTTATCCCTTAATTATGTGTTTTTGAGTGGTTTGTGTGTGGGATATCAGGGACTGTGCATCTATGGTTGAAAACCATAGAAAACCACAAACATCGAGAGCAATAACTTCATGTTTAAATCAAGTATTGTTCTAAAAGCAGCACCCAAGAGATCAGAAACAAACAGTGGGCTATCGTCTGCCGATTAATACTATACATCACCATCTCTCTCAGTATCACCTCTGTGTGCTACAGATACTCAGCTACTGTCCGCCTCTGCTTTAACCTCTCTGTCAGTCAAGTCATCCATGTCTAGTTCATTGAGAGCAGACGTCACTCTCTCCCTAACTCAACAGTGCCGCCCATTCATCAGCCCCCGGCAGAAACTCGATCTCCTCTGAGAATGAGCTGCGTGAAAGGAGCCAGTGTGATTGTGGAGGGCCGTGTGTCTGAGACGGCGCTCGAGTGCTCTCAGCCAGTGGACAGTGCTACCAGATCTCTGTTATCGCTGTGTTTGGATGTGCACGGGCCAGCAAGCCAACTGCAGGAGCAGATACCAGCTTCTCAGATATTACAGCACATCCGTGTCTCACATCTGTAGAGGTTTAATATAGAGATGCACCGATCGATCGGCCAGGGATCGGAATCGGCCGATTTTCCTCATGATCGGCCCGGATCGGTGATCGGTC